TTCATAAATAACTTTTAAAGAGAAAATGAATATTCAATAAAATTAGTCGAGGTAATAAATTATGTATCATGAATGATAATATAAAGGCCATGTACTTTGATCGCTACAATATAGACTAAAAAAACTTGTAGATTAACTACCTATACCAATGATATATTAATTCCAGCGCTATGTAAACGAGATTGGACTAAAAAGCCTGGAACAGTTTAAAAACTGGAAAATCTGTGTAGTAATTTGAGAAAGTTCGAACTGAGAAGAACCATCGGAAACTTTGAAGCAGAGGAATGCTTTAATATTCATACCAAGAGAATGTGCGTGTAATAAAAGCGTTTTTTTACTAACCTTGACATTATCTAGGATAACTAAAGGACCATTTACACCTGAAACAGTTTTATAAGCTGAAGAAAGAAAGTAAAAATGGATGATTACATCACGTGAACTAAGAAAACCTCTTCATTTTAGACCAAAAAATTCTTGACTAAAACGCAACCGACTGTGAATCTAACAGTAGAGAGAAGTGAAGACGTACTTAATCTAGGCTGTGATATATAGTTTCTGGTAACTGCTGCTACATGTTGGTTGTTAGCTTCGCCTGCAGAAAGATCCATCAAATCACCCGGACCCGGCGCCATCTTGGATCCTCTTGTCCGAGAATCGCGCTTGCGCTCTCTGGGTGACGTTATCCTGATCATATGATCGTACACAGGAAGCCCAAACAAGCTCTAAAAAGATTTAAGGTGGCTAACAGCAGTTTTTTTGAAAGGATAATAAATCGTCAAATAATCAATCCTACCTTACTTAGTCTACCTATCCATCAAATTTTTATACCAGTTGTTGGATTTGGGTAAAAGTTTTCAACAGTAAACGCTCAGCTGATTCGACGTTTTCTTGGGGTGCATGTTACGTCATTGGTGCCATGTTGGTTGACAAATACGAAGCCCTCTTCTAGTTCTTCTCTTGTTAGATAAACCAACATGATGGTGGCTGTTTCATTGTTACTATATATCTCAAGGGATATTGATTCGTGTGGTTGCATGCTATGAGGGGGGGGGGGGGGGGGGGGGGGGGGGGGGCTATGAATTGAATCATATATTCTTATTCTTATTCTTATGCTTTTTATTTTTTTCATTACAATGATTATAAAATATGTACATCTAAAAATAATACACTTAAAATTAATATTACGTTTACTTAATAAATAAATAGATGATTTGCAAAGGTCAAAACTCCCTGCTCGTAAGACAATTGAATTCGCCTACAGGCTTCAATATTCTCACTATGGAATTCGAGGACGAAAAGCCCAAAAAACGAAATTTTTCACATCAACGCTTATTTGCATGAGTCTCGGGTTCTCGTGGCATACATTCTCTCACCCTGCTTCTTATATAAACGTTCCCGTTCTCTCTGGACTCGCACATTTTAGCTCGTTTGCGGGAAACGAGAAGTAAGGGAAAAAACTCCCACCCCCTCCCCGCAGCGATGAATGACCATAGTCACATAAAAACCATTGAAGATAGTCGCTCGCGAAGCCTCAGGCCGATTTTTTCCCATATCTTATTCCCTTCGTGCCTAGGGCCTTGTGAGCGAATTCTCATAGTGAAAATATACAACTATACATAACTATTATTCATGATGCATAATTATATTTCATAAACTAATAAAATGAAAGTTAAAAATCCAAAGCATAATTTTTTCGTTATTTTTAGTCTATAATTGCACATAACACTATCATTGTACTAATGTTTTTTGTGTACTCGCATGTGCCTGCTAAGATTTCCAGACTGCGAGAACCTCATTTGACAGACTTTGCACTGGTACGGTTTTTCCCCGGTATGGATTCGTAGATGTTTAGTCAGCGTGGAGCTGTCGACGAACCCTCGGGAACAGACTTTGCATTTGTACGGTCGCTCACCGCTGTGAATGCGCATGTGCGTGGTGACAGAAGACGACTGCGCGAACCTGGCGGGGTAAAAAGGATAATCAACTTAGAAAACTTGTAGCTATAATGGCCGTCCCCATCCGTCCCTATCCTTGTAGTCATAATATTCCCAGTGTGTCACTTTGTCGTGTGAGGCGGGCCGACCTTAGGCAAGAGTACCAAATGCCCCAAGTGTCACTGTACTGTCACAACTGTCCCAGCCGCAATATTCTTGATAATTCTGCCCTCATTGATGTCTTTTGCCTATTTGATTCGATGGTTGAATTAACGGATAGACTAAGACGTGGCCACTTTAAGATGTTGCTGAGCTTCATAGCTTCAATCATGGAAAAATTAAAAAATATAAATTGGTCACTTTGATTATACCAACCAACATGACCGCCAAGTCCACCATGTCTTTTTTTATTTTAAAAATAATTAGGAACCACCTTTTCGTTACAATAAAGATTTACCTGCGATCGCAAATAGTGCACTGAAATGGCTTTTCTCCGGAATGTATCCGCAAATGTGCTGTGAGATTGGCATCTTGCGCAAACGACTTGAAGCAGATGGAACACTTGAACGGCTTTTCACCCGTGTGGGTCCTCAGATGAGTCTTGAGGGTCGACGGGCGAGCGTAGACTTTACCACAAACATGGCATTCGTTTCTCCTCATCTAGATTAGGTTAAAACAGTAATGTAAATTGTTTATTTGATGAATTCATCTTTCCTTCATGCTTCGGTTTTATTATTATTTATTTAATCGTTTACCTAGACAATGAAAATACTCAAGCCTACTCGAGCATAGCAGTTCGAGCACCGAACTGCTCTTTACATTACTTCTTACCTTCCTTTCCATATCCATTCATTCATTCTATTAGCTATTTGATCAATTGGAAGTTATCATCAATTAAATATGAATAAATTACCGCTTCCTTTTCTGAGATGGTTGAGTTGGTGACGTCATTTCTATTCTGGTTGCTTAGTAACTGTTCTTCGCACTTGACGTCTATTTGTCGATCAGTAGACGAGGAGGAATTTTCACGCGTATCTCCAGATAAACTATTCCCAAAATATCRTCCGTCTGGGTTGCGCAATGGGAAACTGCTCGTGACATTGTAAGAATTACCGCTGACCGAGACATTTAACTGATCGTCCGGGGTCAAAGTCTGCAGGTGATCGGTTTTAAGAATACCACCATTGGGAAGAGGACTTGGCAGGTAGTAACCGTTAGGCAGGTCAGCGAATTGAGGAATGAAACAGTTAAAACCAGTAAAACCGATAGCTGTGGCCACTCTATCTGGACTGTTGACTTGTAGGACATTGTTGAATATACCACCTGTGTAGGACAGGAGGTCGAGAGGAGTCTTATGGCTTTTCTCCGACTGGAATTGATTCAGGGTGTCGGCAAGGTACGGAAATCCCTGAACGTTCCGCATGCATCCCTCTGGAAGCGAATGTGTTGGAAGTGATGAGTGTCTTAAGGAGAGGAGAATTCCTGCTGTTTGGAACCTAGTCTCTGGTGGTTCATGGCTGTGGAAGGAAATAAGGGACATTTATTATTTACCAGAGAAGTGGGGGAGGGGGG